TTTCCATTGCAGCTTCAAAGCCAAGGGCTGCAAGCTCAAATATCTACGTGGGTTAGGCATACAGCTTAAATGAGTAAAGCACGCAGATAAAAGGCAGCAGGGAGCAGTGGTAACAGTGGCAATCTATAGAGTACATGCTTTACATAAAGAAGGTAACTGCTACTTAACCCTTGCATTTTGCTGCCATGCAGATCCAATACAGTCAGATAGTATAACTTTTCAAGATAAGTTAAAAATTCAGATTTTAAAATGTCAAACTGTCAAATTTGAAACAATAAAAAAGACAGTACAAGATAAACAATACATATTGGGGGTTCATATTCAGCTTATGACCCCTACCCTAACCCTATGTGCTAGGTTCTGTGGCAGGCAAGACTTTAGAGGTCTTGACTGGCTGTTACATTGGTGGCCCCCAATGAACCATGACTCTGTACTCACACCCTCGCGTAGTCCCTTCCCACACTGACTCTGCGCTTGGCCATATGACTTGTTTTGGACTAACGGGACATTAACAAGTGTGTTACAACGAAAGCCTTGATAAAGCATTTATTTGCTCACTGGGGCCTGTCCTCTAGGAAGCTATCACTAAGCAGAAGCTTGAATGGTAAGAAGCCAGGTAAAGAGAGAGGCCCTAGAGGATGAGAAGCCATTTTGACGAGCTCCAGCTGACTGTAGTCCCATGCGTAACCTCTGAGTATACTATGTGGGCCCAGCTGAGTCCAGTTAAATCACACAATTGTAAAGACTAATAAACCACTATTATTTTAAGCTAGTAAGTCTTGGAGCTGGTTTACTATGATGCAATAGGTAACTGAAACAGAGGTCATTTATTCCAACCCCTTTATTTTACTAACGAATGTCTCAAGGCCCAGATAGGCAAAGGAGTCTGGTGAAATTCAGACAGCAAGTTAGTGGCCATAACTTGCCAATTCTGTGCTCTTTCTTCCTGTTGCTTTTGTTTCAATTCCCTTGGTGGAAAGCATCACATAAGGACCATGAAACTTGAAATTCTACCTGCACAGAACTTACACCGTGTCCTGCATGCATATACATTACTGTAAGAAGTTGGCCCTTGGAAATGGAAAGATTTCTAGATCGTCTAGTCCCTTCACTTTACAGGTGCAGAGAATGCAAAACACCTGAGAAAGAGAAAAAGCAGCCTCTGACATTTGGAAGCTGGCCTGATACAATCAGGCAGGCAGTAATGTTACTAGATGATTGCCTGGCCGTCTTAGCTAGGCCTCACGTTCTCCTGTGGAACATAATTTCACAGAACATAAACATTAGGCATTGCCATTCTGGGACCATGACACATCAATACAAAAGCGAGACCACTGAATGCAGATAAAACACGTACACTGTCCAAACCATAAAAAATGACCAAATATCCCCCATCCTGGTTAATGAGAGACTCCTGTTTCTCTACCAATTAGAACTTTAGCCTCAGTGTAGTATTCCTTCTAGGTAAGATTTATTGAGATGCCCAATCACAGAATTACCCCCACTTCCTGACAGCACTTTACCCAGAGTACAGCCCCTCTTCCTTAAACCTTCTGTCTAATCACCTGACAACGCCTACTGAGATGCCCCACGGCTCTTCATGGTGTGTGTTCTCCCTCCCTGCAACCAGGAATAAATCTCGCTTGCTCAGCTATCTGTATGCTCATGGTCGTCTTTGGTTAGAGGGTACTGACGGACCTGAAGAAGTTCACACAGAGCAGGAGGCAGAACTCACTAGAAGGAGTCTCCAGGTCTCCAGCTGTGTTCTGTCTTAGAAACTATCACTCCGGTGGTTAATGTCTGTACCCCCCACCCCCCCCGAATTAAGCTCCTTGAGAAGAGAAGCCTTGTCTGTAAAGTTCGGAGCTGATTCCCAGTGCCTAGGCTGGTACCCGGCAGAGGCTGGAAGTTTAAAAAATATTTCCTGGACGAATGAATGAGTAAAAGGGACTCAATATATACAGGTTCCCTTTCACCTCCCAGTATGTGGTGCGTACAGACAGCACCACAGCTCATCTAGCCCAACTAAATTTTCAAACCCCTCACTCCTGGGACGCCCATTCTCTCCAAGCCTCCTACTTTGCTCGAGCTTCTCTCGCTCGCTGGCCCCTTCCCACACCCGAGTCCCAAAGACCATCCCCTTGTAACGCACCTAGAACTCACCTGTCGCCAACATCACTCCACCGCAGACTCCAGTGGACCAGCCGCACCGCTACCCTGGAGTCGAGTGGGCGGTGCGGACACCGACCGCGCATGTGCGGAAATCTGTCTCACGCAGGAGCTCTGACAAGCGAAGAGTTGCCTCTGAGTTTCCGTCCCGGTCTGGGTAGTCTTGGGCTGCCAGGAAATCAGGAGAAACTAGCCGGAAGGAGAACCAGCGCGCAGGGATTTCTGGGATATGTAGTCGTAGCTATCCCGAGACCCCACCTTGAGGGAGGCCTTAATTCTTCAGGACTGCAAGTTTCGCACTCACAGTCCGGTGCTACTTTCGGCTGAGAATTCAGCTTCCGGCTTCTAGGAGAGATTGGCCTGGTGTCGGCTTCTCGTTCCCACAAAGCTCTGCGGTGCCCGCGGCGCCTGCTGGGAGCTGTAGTCCTCACTCTGCGTACTGCGTTCGCCGAGGGGGAGGGCGGAGCTGCCGGCGGCCCGGGCGGGCTGGCAGCTAGAGTGGGTGCGAAAGCCGCCTCCGCCTCTGCCGCCTCCGCCGTCGCCTCCTCCGCCCGGGCCGTTCGCTGCTGCGCGGGGA